CCCACAGATGCTGAGACTCCAAATAGTTGGAAAATAGTAATTCTTAGAAGCAAAAGAACCAGAGTTGAGGAAAGTAACACTTGCTGAGAAATTTTCCATAACAATGTCTTTGCCTTGCAATAACATAATACCCCCTTGCATTGAAACTCATTTTATTAATCCTTTCTTTTTTCTAATTGGTCATAATTTTCACAAATTTATGCAATTATTTCATAAAACTTCAATATAAAACAAGCACTAGCTTTGAGATCATTAACAAGGTACAAAGTATTTATTAGTAAAGCCAATAAATGCTTCTGTTAAAACTATAATGCTTAAGGAAGGGAGGGAGGGAGGAAGGGAGGGAGGGAGAGAAGAGGGTAGGAGAGAAGGAGTAAAGGAAAAAGGAAGGAAGGGAGGGAGGTAAGAAAGAAAGAATGAAGGAAGGAGGAAGGAAGGACGGATGGCAGGCAGGCAGGCAGGCAGGCAGGCAGGAAGGAAGGAAGGAAGGAAGGAAGGAAGGAAGGAAGGAAGGAAGGAAGGAAACAGAAGGATGAAAGGAAGGAGGGAGGGAGGGAGCTAGGGGAACGAGGGGAGGAAGGAGAGAAGGAGGAAAGAAGAGAGGAAGGACAGGGAATTTAGAGCTTTAAAGGTCAGAGATACAGGATAGATTAATCCTTATAAGTGTTATGAAGTCATTTTTACTATATACATGAGACAACTTAGGTTCCGGAAGTTCAAAAAACCTTCTTTATGTCATATTATTGACTAATGATCGAAAAATGACTCAGCTAAATTTTGTCTGGCTCCAATGGCTATGCTCTTATTTATATAATTATTTTTAACATGCCTTTTCTAGCCCTAGCAATTCCAAACCTCAAATAAATAAATAAATAAATAAAATGCTGGTGTGTGTGTGTGTGTTTACGTAGGAGTACTGTTATTTGGGCTGGAGTGATAGCACAGCAGTAGGGCGTTTGCCTTGCACACAGCGAGCTCCACAGAGCCAGGTTCGATTCCTCCGCCCCTCTCGGAGAGCCCGGCAAGCTACTGAGACTATCTCGCCCCCAAGGCAAAGCTTGGCAAGCTACCTGTGACATATTAAATATGCCAAACACAATAACAACAAGTCTTAAAGTGGAGATGTTACTGGGCCCGCTCGAGCAAATCAATGAACAACGGGAGGAGAGTGCTATAGTGCTACTGCTATTTATTGAGCCACGGATTAGGCTGATTGAATTGTACATGAACTTCACCTTACTTTTTTTCCCCCATTTTTTATAATTTTACTTATTGAATCATTGTGAGAGCAGTTACAAAGCTTTCAGGTTTAAGTCTCGGTCATACAATGAAACACCCATACCTTCACCAGTGCCCACTCTCCACCACTAAAAACCCCAGTATAACCCCATCCCACACCCTCCCCCTACCTGTGGGGCAGATGATTTCCAAATTACTCTCTCTACTTTGATTACATTCAATATTTTGACACTAGACCCACCATTATTTTTTGGGATTTTACCCCAACACTTAGATCTGTTGAAAAGGCAACATTTTCTATTGCTGGTTATGAATGACATATGATGTCGCATGGCTGCAGTACTGGCTGCGATTTTGAAATTCCAAAATTTTAACAATTAAATCTGGAGGGATTTCTTGCCAAAACCTGCTGGGTTCCAAGATTTGCTCCTGAGTCTCTGGGATCATGCCATTAAGCAGCTTGATCAGGAGCCAGAGAGGCCATTCATGAGCGGCAACTCAGGGTCTCATTGGGATGGGGAGGAAAGGGCCGGCTCTGCCCCCATCCCGTGAGGCCCCATGTGTCTCATCACTGTGGGCCCAAACCTGACTGTCCAATGGCCTCTGGTGGATGGCGGCCACCGAGCCGCCAAGGCGTAGCAGGCAGAGGGACAGCACCCTTTTTCCCCTGAGGTGGCCCGCCGACAATAACCTACTGCATGGTCTGGATGCAATAAAATGCTGTTATTTTTTTTATTAACTCAAAAATTCTTCATTCTAAGGATTCCTGAATTTATTTCCTTAAATAATTTTCTTAAAAAATTGAGGTTCCACCAAAATCGGATCTTCTAAATATTATTTTTCAAGGGTATGTTCAAAAATTTATATTTTTCACAAGCAACTTGGAAAATGTTTAGAAAACTTTTTATCCTTCAGCTTTACTTTGTTTCCTTTCCACCAAGCACTGATCATAGATGATAATTTTCTCAATTTTGAGCCAACGAAAACTGGCACTGCCACTTAGGATCAAAAACACCAGAATCTATTGGAATATACCCCTTCGGATATCCTTGTGATATATCTGCTATTCACGCTTAAGTTTGGGGTCCATAGTTATATTTCAAATTTGATCAAGTTATTATTAAATCAAGTATAGACTCAGGGCCCAGTAGCATGTGGACTACTGTAAAAATAATAAAGAAGAATAGCCAAGGAGTTATTAAGAGTCGAGAAAGTAATGCGAAAATAAGTATATACAAAGAGAGTATCTAAAAGACCAAAATTTGTGAGGCTGGAACTATAGCGCAGCGGGTAGGGCGTTTGCCTTGCAAGCTGCCGACCCGGATTCAATTCCCAGCATCGCTTATGGTCCTCTGAGCATCGCCAGGAGTAATTCCTAAGTGTGTGAGCCAGGAGTAACCCCTGCACAGCGCCAGGTGTGACCCAAAAACAAGACCAAAATTCGTGAATTGAAAGAAAAAAGAAGCAAGTCTCAAATCAGGGCTTTTTTTAATTAGTTACATCTCTCCTGGGAGAAAAAATTAAATGGAAATACATATCTAAGCGTCCCCTCACACCATCATTTCTTTCTGGAATACTCAGTTTTCATACCCAGTCTATATTCTCAAATAATCACTGAGAACTGAAGATGACTATTTATAACTCACATTGAGTTCATGGTTAACTTTTAAAAATGAACCACATGTAAAATACTAAAATGAAAAATGACTACAATACCGAATTCTTATTATAATTGTTTTCTGCTATCAAGTAGACTTATTTCTGATTGCTTTCCTTAGCAGTCACTCGCTTTTCGTATATTTAATACCAAATGAAGAAAAAAGTATGAGTTCTCCCATTTCCACTGAGAAATTCCCTTCTTTATTTTCAGTTATCTTTCGGAGCTGGGAGTCTCATTTCCATCTTTGACATATTGTGTATACTATTCTAGCATGTTAAAGAGATTTATTTTAATAGTTATAGTATTAGGTTATAGTATTAGGTACACTTTAATATTTGAGTAAAATAATCAATTCTCAAAAATATACAGATCTTTCACAAGTATAGAAAGGCCAATGTTGTTAAAATAAAATAAATTCTTTAAGTAATTTTTAGATTTGATCACTTATACCTGCTGAATATATATTATATATGTATATATTATATTATATTATATATGTATATATTCATATGTGTATACATATATATATATATATATCCCAGGTTTAGAAAGCAAGAATTCCATAAGGGAAACTTAAGCTCTGGAATTAGCTCTGGAACTGAATTTACAGTAGCAGGAAGGAATTCTATTTTTATTTCAGTGTGAAGGTAGACATAGTCAAATGGCTAATTTTCAAAGCACCAGTCTGCCAGATGAAAAATATTTCTCTGACTAATTTGACTGGCAATCTCCAGTGACCTGGAGACAGACACACCTTATCATGCCTTGTATTCATCCTGAGCAACATTCACTCCCTCTAGAGGGCTTCTGAACTCCAATCTGACATCTCTTAAATTTGTGCTTTTCTAAATGTAAAGCCTAATATAGAATTCAGGGGTAACTAAGATTAAAGAGAAGCTCACTAGGCATTAGAAATCCCATGTTTGTTCTTGATCTTTTTTTTTTCTTTCCCCTCTTTTGTTTTTATGAGGTTGATCTAAAAACCCTAAAGTGGGACATAATGGCTTCAGAGACAGGAATAAAATATTCTTTATCCTTTTTGCCTACAATAAAAAGCCCACAAGGCTCTTTTGTAGAAAGCCCACAGTAGACGCACTCTCTCAAAGGCCACCTTTTTCTTCATAATAACCCTCAAGGAGACAGTGTTCAGACAAGATGACAGTACCAAGTGTTGCTAATATGAGACCCAGAGAAAAGCTAAGAAGCTTAAAGCCAACGCCCTTGTTTATGATATATACTTGTCTATATTTGTTCGTGAATAAAAGGCCATTGTCTCTCAAATTCCACAATAAACAATTTGTCCCTAAAAAGGAAAAAAAAATATTTTTGATGAGACAGGAAGAAATAATTAGTATGACTGGGGGAAAAGAAAGGGATTATAAGAATATAAAGCATCTGGCTTTTGGATGCAAAGAGGTGACGGAACTAGTTCTGCATATGAGTTAAAGACATGACTGACATTCAATGACTTACATTCATAGAATATGGAACCATTTTGGTTAATAGAATGTTAAATGATCTGCATCAAAATTAGCAAAGTACAAAAACCATTAATTCTAAAAAATTGATTGTGTGCTATATCAGATATTATGTGCACAGAAGTTATAGAAATAGATGACAAAGCATCTACTCTCTAATTAGACTTTACATTTTTAGAGGGGAAAGAATATTCTCATTTACTGTTCTGAAATGTACAGAATCTTAGTAATGTGATCTGAAGGAATAGTAGGTTTGCTTCCATTCATACACAAAGTTTTCATGGAAATTACTATAATTGCAAAATTAAAAGGTCCGTGTTTCAAGACCAAAAGATTAAAACACCTTCTTCTCTAGTATTTGACCAAGAAAGAAATCTCCATTTTTTTATTATGTTAATTCTTTCTCTAATAAGTAATGATTCTAGATCCCCATAAGCAGAATAATAGCTTTTAAATGTGTGAAACAAAATGTTTATAGCACTTTTTAAAGTACCCTTTTAATACACTTATTCCAATGAATACTTTGCCTTTAACTTTATATCGCCTTTATATGTCGCCTTTATATATTGCCTTTAACTTTATATGCTAAAATGGCCACAACCGAACTAGTCGCTAAACCTTACCTTGGACAGTGAGAGTAGCTGATGCTTCAGCTTTTCCAACCATATTTTCTGCAACGCAAGTATATGACCCCATGTCACCAGCCATCACCTTCCGAATTTTCAAGGTATGATCATCTCTAATTTCATATCTAGTGACATAACATGAAAGCACAGTTAAATGACTTTGGACAGGAGAGATTCCCATCATTACCAACATGATGCATCAAAATCTGTGCAACATTCAGAAGATTTCAATGAAAAGGTAAATGATAGCATTCCATTAAGTCAGCACACAGACAGGGAAGTCTATCTTTATAATGATGGGGCCTATCAATTGATGTGGCAGTTATATATTGATGTGAATCTGCATAATAAACAACACAAAGTTTTGGCCAAGTTGCTAGTTATTTCCACAGGCTACTATATCATATGAAAACTAAGAGTGATCATTAGTCTCTTATGACATGAAAGATTTAAAAGTGTTCTTACAACTATTTTTTTAAATTTTTTTCTACCATTATGTACAGTATTCCACTCAGAAAACTGAGGCGTAAGAAGATAAGGTCAACCAATTTAGTGACAGAGTTGATATTTGAACTCAGACAACCTCATTTCAGAGTCCACTTGGCATCCCTCATCTTCCCTCACCTGGAACCTGATTTTTATTCAGCTTTGACTTTAATCTTCACTTTAGTCTAAAATATATTATTAACTTGTTTTACTACTCTAATTTAATCTGGCAACTGCACAAATATTTTTGACCCTTATTATAACTGACGAAAATCTAACTCATAATATCAAATGACTAAACCATAGGCATTTTATTCTGCAAGGAAAATAATATTTGATATTTTGAATGAAAGTTAATTTTATTACCCCATAACATAAAACAACACGGAAATAATATTTGTATTTGGAATAAAAGTTTCTTTTATTTACCCTGTTATATAAACCAACTTTTGTTTTTTTGTTTGCTTTTTTGCTTTCTTTTTTTTGGGCCACGCTCTGTGATGCTCAGGAGATACTCCTGGCTCTATACTCAGGAATCCACTCCTGGTGGTGCTCAGTGAACCATATGGGATGTTGGGGATTAGACCCAGTAGGCGGCATGCATGGCAAGCTCCTTACGCTCTGTACTCTCTCCAGCCTCATAAACTGACTCTTTCTAATATATTTTATCATCATTGCTAGTTTCCAGTATCTAACAAAGCATCAAATGCTGTTACTTTATTGTTATCTGAGATGAAACTCAGCAATTTAGTCTAGAAACGTCTCTCCATGAGGACCCTACCTCTATCTTCTCTCAGTTCTTGTAATTCATATCACTTCTATGTCCAACACTGCCACTAGATTTTTCCCAAATGATATAAGACCGACAGTTCTAAAACATTATTTTTCAATTTGAAACATTCTCTCTAAAAAGCAGTCCAATTTATACTAATTTCTCTTGCCTTATCAGCATACATGCAATGTGATTAAAAATTCTGCATGTATACTGGGCCCTGACATCTTTGTACAAGTGTCTCCAAACACAAAACACATATTTTTTATGATATACCATAGCAATAGTCATATTAAATTTTTCAACATTCAAACTATGTAATAGTTTTCTCAAATAGTTCTCTCTTTTTCTTGTCATTGGATATGCATATACATATATACATACATATATATGTATATATATACATACACATATTACAAAGGACTAAATGTACGTTAGTACCACATATATTTTATATTTATATTAAATATGATCATATTAAATGTATTCAGTATATTCAATACTGATACAGATGTCTATATAAATATATACTTAAGGCATGCACAAATGTTGCTTCCGGGTGGGAGGGATACTGGGATCCGTGGTGGTGGGAAATGGGCATTGGTGGAGGGATGGGTATTTGATCATTGTATAATTGAAACCCAAGCACAAAATTTGTAAGTTTACAACTGTACCTCATGGTGTCTCACTAATTAAAAAAAAAACTTCTGATTTTGTCTTCAGGAGTTTCCCTTTATCTATAAGGAGTTTGATAGGTTATTTCAGATATATATATATACATTTACCCTTTTTGTGAGCATTTTAAGAGAAGAAAGCTATGTTTAATTCACTGTTCTGAGACTTCAAACTGTCAGTGTCTTGATGCATGCTTAGAAAATTATGAATACACAAAATAAGGCAGGTTTAAAAAATATAGATGGCTTTATTTTATAGTCTCATTCCCTAAGGCTGCAGTTTATCTCTGCTCCAAGTCAATTTAAGCACTTGGCAGATACCAAGAAAAGCTGACCATCTACCACTCCCTGGAGTTGTTTCAGATAAGGAAAAGGAAGCTGCTTTGTAATCGGCTGATTTGTTTTTGATGCTATGCCATTCTTCCTTTCCCACCTCATACATACTGTGATCTGGTTGAAAAGAAGTTAAACCATCTGAGAAACAAAACATTTTACAAGGGAGTCCTGGGCACCTTTACAAGATTCTTATCTGAAGCTCTCTGAAAGCATGGCGACTTCTGACTCTAACATTTCTAGAACTGTGTCTGACCCCTGACCAAGGAGTCTATGGCGGACAGTTCTTACTGTTCTAATGACACGTGGGGGCATGGTGGTGTGACAAGAAGCACAGAAATTCAGAGTGAATAAACTCCATAATGAAGTCTGAATTGTACCTGGATTTGGGTAGCTCTCCATCGTCTTTTCTCCATCGTACTGTAGGCACGGGGTCACCTCTGGCCTCACATTTAAATTCTGCGATGTCATCCACAGTTACAGCCAAGTTACTAGGTCTTTTCACAAATGAGGGTCTCTCTACAATGAGAAAGAGCCATCTCAGGGTAAAGATTAAGGATTCAACCAGAACTGACTGAGGCACAGAATGCTCTCTTTTTGGTGGGACTTAAAGATGCACAGCAAGGTAGGAACAAGGGCCAAATGCAACACAATGGGAGAACTAATTTACACAGCTGAGTTGATGGGGGGGGGGCAGTGAAGAAAGGAAGGGGTATTGGGTCCTTGTAGGAGGGAGGCATGTACTCTTGTGATAGGTATGGTGTTGGAATTATGTGCACGGAAAACTATCAGAAACAACATTGTAAATCACGGACCTTGGGCAATAAAAAGTTAACAAAAAACCAAAAACACTAAAATAGTTTCTTATTATTTAGAAAATATTTCTGGAGTCTGAGAGATAGTACAGAGGTTAAGGCCTTGCACAAGGCTGACCCTGCTTTATTCCCCAACACCAAATGTTCTTCCAAGCACTGTTGGGGGTCACAACTGAGACATATAGCCCCTGAGCACTGCCCAATGTGGCACACGCATTTTTTCCCCACCTATTTCCCAACTTCTCAAAGCTCCCCTAAATTTAATGTTCATTTGTTTTTGGTTCACCTATCGTATCTTTGATTATTTATCTGAGGCTGCTTTACTGATTCCTTTTCTTCTTCCGATCCACCAGAATGTGTTATTTTTAAAAAATCATGTCTTGAATAAAGATACAAAGAAATATGAAGAAATATGCTTTGGGGTAAACAGATCAGAAACAGATCACACTTACCTAAAACAGTTAACTCTGCTACTTCACTCTCACGTTCCCCAACCATATTGGTACCAACACAAACGTATTTGCCAGCATCACTTTTACGGGTATAAGTGATCATGAGTTTTCCTCCTCGGATCTTAAAAAAAAGAAAAAAAATGTTGCAAAGGGATACCATAAAAATCACCTCAACTATGTTTCTCTGATAAAAACACTCACAAATAAGTTTATTTACTAAGCACTCAAAGAATATATACCAAATAATGTACAGTATTTTCTATATCTACAGAACAAACTTTATTTCAAAGTCACAATAGAAAAGAGGCAGGCCATTATTATTTACCTAGGCATCTTATATCATGTAAAATGAGAAATCAGTGTTTCTAAAAAGTGCTTTAATATTATTCAGTTAAGTGAAAAGCCAAATACTGCAAGAATAACTTAGTTAGCTAGGAAAAAAGGAAACATATAACTTTCTATGACTATTATATATATGTATATCTTAATTAGAAGTAACTATAAGAAGCATACTCTAATATTACAAAATGTGTAATATAATGGTCTCTAACTTGCCACAGTTGCTCAAATAGAATGTATCTTAATCACTGAATGATTGCGGAATCTGACAGTGCCTAAAAAACATAGGTGTTGTGCTGTGTGCGCGTGCGCCGTGTGTGTGTGTGTGTGTGTGTGTGTGTGTGTGTGTGTGTGTTTTAGGAAGCAGAGACTGAACAGATCCTAGTAAATCATCAAGAAAGCCATTCTGGTAAACTCGTAACATGTAATTAGTTGAAGAAGGATTTTTTATAAATGTAAACACAAGTCCAGTACAGTAAGAAGTCTGAAACTAACCATGTGAATTCAGATTGTAATGTACAACATTCACTATCTTTATTTCATTTAATATGTTTTTAGTAGGGGGGTTGAATTCAGTTACTCATCAATATATACAAATCTTTCAATATTCTAAAGGTTTTCCAAGGATAACTTCCACACTGTATATTCATGAAGATTTGGACCACAGTGTTATCAAGTACATAGAGAGTTATCAATTACATAAAGACAGGAAAAAGGAAGAAAAGGAGGAAGAGGGGAAGAAAGGCAGGCAGGCAGGAAGGAAGAAAGGAAAGAAAACAAGGAAGAATGGAAGAAATGAAGGAAGAAAGGTTTTCTTTTCCTTTCACACACTAAGCAATTATTATAACTGTAGCACTGTTCTCCCATTGTTCATCCATTTGCTCAAGCGGGCCCAGTAACATCTCCATTTTGAGACATGTTGTTACTGTGTTTGGCATATGAAATACATCATGGGTAGCTTGCCAGGCTTTGCCGTGTGGGCGAAATTTCCTCGGGAGCTTGCCAGGCTCTCTGAAAGTGGTGGAGGAATTGAACTTCAGTCAGCCGGGTCGGCCACGTGCAAGGCAAATGCCCTACCTACTGTGCTATCGCTCCAGTCAAGATAGAACCATAATGCCGTAAAATTACAGCATCACTTTTATTTCAACCTGGACACCCAAGCTGCTCATAGTGACCAAATCTCTATAATAGAACAAAACATTTTAACAGAATACTGTCACTCTCTGTAAGCTTAAGTATTTATATTTTTACAAGATTGTTTTGAAAATGATTATATTCTCAAGATTTCATTCTAAAATCATCCCTGGACATTCTCCTTAATCGTTCACTGTTCTTTCCCTTATACTTATAATAATGCATGCATATAGTGAACAAATATATATTTAAAAGTTTTATTGCTTTCATTTATACTTTCCTAAGTTTTCTAGCAGAATTATACAAAGAAGAAATGAATGCTATACAAAAAAAGAAACATCATTTAGTAGCTGACTACTGCTATACTTTGTGAGCATTTAATTTTGGTTCTTTTTGAGGGGAGGAGGGGTATGGAAAGACTGGAAGAGAAAAGACTGGGGGGGTGGAGGATGGACAGGGGAAGGTTGGGATAGATAAATGGATGGATGATGGATGGATGGATGGATGGATGGATGGATGGATGGATGGATGGTCAGATGGATGACTGGGTGGCTAGGCAGACATGGATATACATTAATAAGGTAGAGTCTCTTTTTGGAGAAGGGCTGTTGTGTTTTTGGATTACACAGCTACATCCAGGGATGACTTCTGTCTCTATGTTCAGGAATCACTGTTTGTGTTTGTGTCAGTGGTACTGGGGTTGGGACTCAGGTTTTGAGCAGGCCAAGTGTAAGGTCTCACCTACCACACTATCTTTCGGTGGCTAAGCACAGCACTACGAGTAAGCCCTGAGCACCACCAAGTCTACCCCTAAAATAAACAAAACTACCCCCCAAAATAGTGGGAATATGCCCTCTCCTACCTTGCTAAGTTTTACCAAGAGAGCAACTAAAATAGGGTGTTTCAGTTGGAGCTTGCCAACACAGTTATATATGACGGAATTGTTCTACTGATCAATGTCAGGTCAATGTTCCTCCTGTCTTTGATGGGAGATAAAATCAATAATGATAGGCGCAGTCACTGAACTCTGTTGTAGGATTCCAGGTGAATAATCAACATATTATAAGTAGTTTTGAAATCAAAACTGAAGAAACAAACTACCTTGGCTTTTTTGTGTTTGTTTTTGTTTGGGGAAACATATGGCTGCATTTGAGGTTGAGTCCTGATGCTGTGCAAAAGAGCATTCTGGCACTGCTTGGAGCATCACAAATGGTGCTGAAGAGAAAACCCATGTCAGCTGCACGTGGGACAAGCACGGTCCTCGGAGTTGTCTCTCCTGCCCAAAGTGGTTTTTATTAAAATCGGGGGCATGTGGATTTATCTTTTTAATTATTTTTTTGCCTTGTTACAGAACTGTTACGGATTATAGTAAATAAATATTTCACTTATGAGGCCAGCGGTTCAGGAAAGTAGAATCTCCCCTTCCACATACTTCTGCTATGTCCACCATCACGATACATTATAATTATGTTTTTAAATGTCACTCCTCTCCCTGTTTGAACTCTGGGGAGCAAAGCATATCTAATTCCTCTTCAGAGCCTGAGTACATGTGGCACTGTCTCTTAAGTATCTCTGGAGGGAAAACAAGTTGCCCAGTAACACAAAGCAAGTTGGAACAGGGCTAAGATTTTAGGTAAGGTATGTGGTGTTGGCTATGTAAGGTATACAACTAGCAAGACATACATGGCGCACAGCCCGTTTGTCAAAATCACTGCTTAGTAAACTTAACCTTAAGAAACATGAGTGCTTAAGATCCAGAACATGGGTAGCAAGACATAAAAGATTTTTAAAAAGAGAAGTTCCGTTAACAAAAGGGTGTGCCCTGTCACAGAGGCAGGGTGGGATGGGACGTGGGGGGGGGGGGATGGGAGGTGGGAGGGATACTGGGATCCTGGTGGTGGGAAATGGGCACTGGTGGAGGGATGGTATTTGATCATTGTATAATTGAAACCCAAGCACAAAAATTTGTAAGTCTACAATTGTACCTCATAGTGTCTCACTAATAAAAAAAAAATAAATAAAAATAAAAAATAAAAAAGAGTTCCATTATAGTCTTTTCTTATATGCTTATATTGAAATGCTCAGCTAAACATTTTCCAAAGATTTAAAAAAAGTAAAATGATTCTTTCCCCTACTCCCTTGTGCCCAGGATTGGACCCAGTGCTTCACCCATGCCAGACAAGAATTCTACCACTGAGTGCTACATCTGTACTTCCAGCCCCCAAATTCTATTTGTAATAAGAAATTTAGGTGATCAAAGCATATCTCTAGGCATTCATTATTCAAATGTCTTTAACTTTTAAAGATATTTCACCCTAACTTCAGAATACAGGAGGAAGGACTAAGGGAAATAAATCAAGGTGAGGAGCAAGAAGGAGAAGATAAGTAAATCGTGGACAGGGATCAAGGACTTTGGATACATCGGTGGTGTACCGGCATGATACAGATACATATTCAGACTGCAGAATCAACAACCCTGAAAGCAGAAGTTTCAAACTACAGCAATCAAAATTAAAAATATGTCTGTCAAGGAGGCAGATTGAGGGGTGGGAAGGAGCCTGGGGCATTGGTAAAGAGAAGCTGGTAATGTTAGTGGCCCTGAGGCTGGGGCACGTTTTTCCTAAACTTCAACTATGAATAACTTTGTAAATCACAGTGTCTTATTAAGAAATTAAAACTTGAATAATAAAAAGAAGATATTGAGCTTCTTTCCCCTTAGCCTTAGAATCTAACTTTGAATGTTTATACTTAGATATCCAATTAAATTCTGAAAGAACGGTGTGGTAATAAATGAAATAGCAAAATTAAAGGGAATTAAAAATACTTTAATATTAATTTTGTTCCAATATAGAATCCAATGAATTATATAAAATATGACCTCAAGAATAATTTTAGAAGCCAGAAGAGACCAAAGAGAGGGATTGGAGCAATAGTACAGCGGGTAGGGTGTTTGCCTTACATGCAGCCGACCTGGGTTTGATTCCCAGCATCCCATATCCCCCGAGCACTGCCAGGAGTAATTCCTGAGTGCAGAGCCAGGAGTAACCTGTAACCTCTGAGCATCTCTGGGTGTGATCCAAAAAGCAAAAAAAAAAAAAAAAAAAAAAGAGGGCAATGCACTGCTTTGCATGTGGAAGATCACACACACTTCATAAGGTCCTGTGAGCAATGCCAAGGGGGTGGTTCCTAACAAGAGACAGTAGTAATCACTCCCTGAGCACTACTGGATGCTGCTCAAATTCCCTGCCAACCCTAGAAAGATTAGTTTTTAAAATATCTGGATATGCAGAACCATGAGAGTCAAAGAATGATAAAATGTGAGCAATTTTTAATAGTGGAGACTTCTCTTTACAACTTTATAATAACACGGTGCTAATGTGCTTTGACAAATCTTACATATGTGGGAATGCAAAATGCAGAGTTTAAATCAATTTGCTTATGCACATGTGGGGCTCCAATTAACATTATATATTACATCCCACAGCTATTACATTTTAAAATTATCCATATGGAGGGAGAATGCGGGGGAACTTCAGTTAAAAGAGTTATGAGAGGACAGTCAGAAGATTCTCAGGCCTGCAAGATTCCCGTAGCAATATGAGTGGGAGGAAACCATAAGTGAGGTGAACCAAATTCAAAGAAAACTAC